CGATTTATGATAGCGTAAACAAAAAGACACGTGTACGGTAGCTAGTTTGGTCGATTGGGTTTCACGTGCATGTTATGTTGCCGACACGGCCTGTTATGTTGTGTGGGTGGTTTCATCGGCTTATTCTGTGACCAAACATTAACTTCCATATTTAGTAATTATTTTTCCATATCCATAAAAATTACAAGAATTACTTCCAACGACACACAAAAATACGCCCTTAATTCCGTGATCGATTTATGGAATTCGTTAGGTGTATCTATACCATGATCCATGAATGTGTTAAAAATATTATGGAACGAAATTCGGAATCAATTTAGACGAAGGATTTATCCATTTAGGTTATTATCGAATTCAATTGAAATTAAAAAATAATGAATATAAGACTATACATTCATTCACAAGAAAAAAGGTGAGAAAAAAAGTGATTTGAGTTTACTCCCTCTCCGCTGTCCGGTGCTTTTGTCGGCATCGTAAGATGGAGAAGGTTGTAAACTAGTAGTTTCTACGCTAGACATGAAGTCTAGAAGATATCATGGAGTTTTTGGTTAGAAGACGATGCGATGTTATTCGCCGTCTGGATTTTATGTGTTATTGATTTCCTTGGTTGGGTTTAGTCTTTTTTTGGGTGAAGTTTTTAGTTGAAGTTTTTTCCTCGTAGAAGATCTATGTTTAGTTTCTAGTCAATTTTGGCTACATATTTGATTTAAGTTTTGCAGTTCAAACTTGTTCAACGGCGGCTTCACTTAAACTAACTCGGAACAAAACTGACAAATGCAATCAAAGAAGAAGATTTAATTAAGTTAAAAGAATTGTTATCATGTTATCGGAATAGATTTGGAAGTCCATATGCTATTGTGGATTCGGGAACACCTAAGTGTCTACCTTCGGTTCGAAACAAGATCATCTTGGTATCGCTAATGTGTCGTCAACGATTATTATCATCACTTAATTTTCGGTGTATAAATGACCATTAGTTTTTCTTTGTATTTTATATGTTGAACTTCTTCAGTGATGTAATCTATTTTAAATCAGTTTGAATAAAATAAAGTGTTAAAAAAAGACTATCCATTCATTGAATATATACACGCAGCACGCTACTGTAGGTTGGAAAAAAAAACCAA